AAAGCGAAACTACTTTGTTTGGCCTTCCAAAAGAGGACGATATCCGCTTCGTCATGTCTAGAGCTGATCAGTGTTAATTTTGACGGCAAATTTTGATTTGGTTTTAGTCATAGTCTTTTGACTAAAATGCCATTTAGTTTTAGTCATATTTTAGTCATATGAATTGTTTTTAGTTTTAGTCTAGTTTTAGTAGACTAAATCTACAATAAATTTAGTTGGCTAAAATCTAATGGGTTTAGTTACAGTGCATTTATTAAGCATTTCTCAAAAACTTCCAAACTCATTATTAGGTTTGATATTAAGATTTTATCATGATAGACACCGATTTAACTGCGGTGACACACAACATGCCTTTATGTTAAAATTAAATAAACCCACTTCTCATAAAGAACAAGAACATGGTCTTCTTTTTAATGAAATACCAATGGTTATATAGGCTAATTATGCATTCTTTATAGCAACTTGTTTACCATATTCTTCATTCTTTCAAGCAGACATATTTATTTCTATAAATAAATTTAGATTCATCTTTAAGTCTACTAAAGTTTTTCAGTCAAGAGCAGTGCGTGATTTTCGGTCTTTCTTCTGTTGTTTGATTAACACCAATGACTCGGACAATAGCAATTAAATTAGGCTGCTATCCCTTTAAAATCGGATGCAATGGATGCAATGTACTGATACACGTTCTCCCTGCTGTTTATGTTTACTTCAGACGTAATTAACTGTGTTTATGTGAATACTCGTCAAAACGGACAATTCGACATCATTTTGTGTGTAATTCTCCGTTCATGCGACGCGTAAGTGTACTTTCACACTTTCCGTGTGTATGCTTCAGTGTCTGCGCTCAGAAAACCGGACTGAATTGAGTTCTCTCTTGCGTCGTCAGATTTATCCATATGTCTGCTCTTCTCTTACTCCCACATATTGACATTTTTGAACATTTTACGCGACTTGCAGCAAGTGTATGTTAGCTCATGTCCCGCCGGTTCATATGTATGCATCTTACCTCCAAACCACGCAGCAGATTCGTTCGGAATAAATTTCTTCCCAAATCGTTCCTCCCTAACATTTTCGTCTCATTTTTATTAGTTGACGAAAATGT